TCTTGATGGTTTCTTTGGGTGTGCAAAATCTTCTGTTTGATAGGGTCCCACTTGTCTTAGCTTTTATGGCATTTGCTGCCCTGGGTTTTTAAATATGAGTCTGAGTCTTTATCTTCTGAGATTTATCCATTTGTTATAGCAGTAGTTCTCTAACTTATGTGTGCATAAGAATCACCTGGAAATCTTGTTAAATCACAAATTCTGGGCCCCACCACAGAGATTCTGATTCATTGGTTCTGGGTGGAGGCCATGAATTTTTCCTTCTAACCAGCTTCTAGGTGAGGCAGAGGCAAGGGGTTGATCAGAGGGTTATATGTTGAGAGGTACTGTTACAACCCAAAGCAGAGATTCTTCACCTTCAGACTGCTTAATAATAGCAATAATCTTTTGCAATGCCGTTCAGGGACTCCACCTCTCTCCGGGCTGATTTCTTAGGTCTGGGTTGGGACTCCAGGGTCTTCATGTTTTTTTAATCAGTCCCCCTGGTGATTCTGACCAAGAAGACTGGAGAATAAATAAGAAATGCGCACTTCATGTCAGGCAGTCAGATGCTACATGGTTCTACATTCACAGTAGCCAAAATCCACCAAGAACTTCTGCCAAGAACTTCTGCAAGGGGGTCATGAGGAAAGCGCCATTGTGGTGTCTTTCCAAGGCCCAGAGTTGATCGTGTCACTCTCCTGCTTAAACAACATGAATAGTTTCTTCAGTGGTTCCTAGGTGCCAGGAAGAGGAACATTCAAAGTCTTCCCATGGTCTTTTCTCAAGAGTAGTTACATGCCGCACAATGACATTCTAGTCAACAATGGACCATATATACAATGGTGGTCCCATAAGATTAAAGTAAATTTGAAAAATTCCTATTATTTTCTAACATCAAAGCTGTCATAATATCGTAGCGTGAACACATTACTCATGTGTTTGTGGTGATGCTGGTGTAAACAAACCTACTGCCTTGCCAACACATAATACTGTATAATAACAGACTATGTTCCTGGTTTATGTTTGTACTTTCTTCATTATTTTAGAGTGTACGACTCCCTTATTTTTTTTTTTTAAAGTGAACCGTAAACCCTCCTCAGGCAGGTCTTGCAGGAGGTATTTCAGAAGAAGATATTATCATAGGAGGTGACAGATTCATGCATGTTTTCACCCCTGAAGACCTTCCAGTGGGACAAGATATGGAGGAGGAAGACAGTGATACTGGTCATCCTTACCCTGGGTAGGCCTAGGGTAACGTGTGTGTTTACGTCTTCATTTTTAACAAAAAAGTTTAAGAAGAAAATAAAAAATTTTAAAAACCAGGCCAGGCTCAGTGGCTCAGCCTGTAATCCCAGCACTTTGGGAAGCCAAGGTGAGTGGATTGCTTTAGCCCACAGGTTCGAGACCAGCCTGGGCAACTTGGCGAGACCTCATCTCTACAATAAATCAAAACATTCGCTGGGCATGGTAATGTGCACCTGTAGTTCTGGCTACCTGGAAGGCTAAGGTGAAAGGATCGCTGGAGGCCAGCAGGTTGACGCTGGGGTGGCTGTGAGCGGGCCACTGCACTCCAGCCTGGGTGATGGAGTGAGACTCCAACTCAAAAGAAAAAACCAAAAAAAACCTTATAAAATTATTTTAAAAATTGTATAGCTCTACAATGTTTGTATTTTAAGCTAAGTGTTATTACAAAAAAGGTCAAACATTTAAAAAAACGAGACAGATTTCTCCAGGAGGACAAAGGAAATACTATGTTTTATCTATCTTTTATCCAAGAATGACCCATAAAAAACTAGCAAAAGTGATATATGCAAATCCTCAAGTGACTGTGGTCAGAGTGTGTTACATAATACTGTGTCACCTTTGTAGTACTGTAAAAATGAATAGTATATAAATTAGCCCTCCTTTTGAAGAGAAAATTTTCCAAAACAGTAAATGAGTATGAGATATCCCTTTCTTAAAAATAAAACATTCAAAGCATATTACTGGAAAATAAAACGGTTCCATCAACTTAAAACAAGTAGCTTCCAAAGTACATTTATTTTTATATGTAAATACAACACCCTTCAACACATATACACTTGTTAGAAGATCAGAAAATTAAGTCTGTCAGAAAGAATTGCCATCTCTTGATTCCTGTGCCTCCACCCGTCCATAAAGAGCCTCAGCATTTCACACACTAAACACATCAGAAAAAGACTCTGAGAATAACTTGGATCAGATCAAAAGGAGAGACACTTCCTGATACTGCCTGGGGTTACCGAGAGCAAACAAAACGACTGCTCCCTTTTGACATGACACATCAAATGCAAAGTACTAACCCTAACAAGGAATAGGCTGATTCCGATTTTTATTTCCTGTCTACAGCTACACTGAAAGGAAACAAATAATATGAACGGCCTTTGTGTGAACTAATTTTTACACACGCCAAATACTGCATCTGATTCATTATCTCAGAGAAGCAATACAAAATGCAAATTGGTGATTTGCAAATTGGTGATTTGAATCAAGTCTTAAGAATCCAATTTTTCAAGACTATTAGAAAAACACAAAAATTATCAAATACTCTAATCATTACTCTTCATACCCCTAAGACTGCAAAATGAGGTCTTTATATAAATAAAAAGTTTATTTCAAACACATATGCAATACAAACTAATGAACTGCATCAGTAATCCTTAAACATTTTAAACTCTTAAACAACACAGGTATACATAAATTTCTTTAAGAGTGAAAAATATTGCTAGCAAAAATAACTTATAACTGCATCATGTTAACAGCATACAGTACGGGATTTACAATATCAAGTGTAGTACAAATGACACTGACGTCACTTTATGTAAGCAAGATGCTGCTCCTTCAAAGGATTTTAAATCCTTGCTTTTTATAAACATTTTTGGGTTTTGGCTTTATAATAAATATGTAATAAATATCTGCAGTACATTGTATATGTTGAGAGCTTATCTTTCTCCATTTGAAAGTCTTTCTCCAGAGTCATAATGTCTTAGAGGCATCCCAGCGGGCGGGGAGTTGGGATTTTGCAGCAAGTCCATTAACAAAGCAATCTTATCATCTATGTGCTCCTGGAGTTTATATATTCGCCGATCGATGTAGTCCATAAGTTTCTTTTCCATCAGTTCCATATTTTTAGAGAGAATTTTTTCCAAGTAGGAGCAAACAGGCTGCTCTTCCATTCTAAAAACAAATGGAAAAATATATATCAATTCCCTAGTATTATAAAAAAACAAGAAAGTTTTACAAGTAGCAACATCCATTGCCAAAATTTGTCTCCACAAGTGTGCTCGTCTCCTCACAAAGTATTTCCAGGGTCTAATCTACAGACCCAACAGGTGACCACAGTCCTGAACACATTCTTATTTCTTTAATTAGAAACATTTATTAAGTACACAATTGAAATGGAAACATAAAAGTGAAGAGGAATCCTTAGAGAACAAGCCTTTAAGAAAGGGTCTTTTTTATTTTGAGTTCTAAATCAAACTGATCTTGTTCAATTTTTTAAAAAGTCAACCTGTATATTTTCCATGTACTTCTCCAAGCAGCCCCATAATTTAAAATTTTTCTACAAGAGTACCTGCATAATCAACGTTTGTATACCTAACCCTGAATTGTAGCCCACATCTTCATAATAAAAAAAAAGAAAAAAAATTTCTTCTTTATACAAACAATCCAACTAAAGTATTAGAAAATTATTTTATAACCTGATATGAAAATGCTTAAGAATTTAATTGGAACAAGCCAATTAATAAAAATAATAAATATAAGGCACACCAGTTTCTAACTTTCACAATGAACATTAGAACAATGAAACTCTGAGTATGGTCTCCATGACTCTTTCAGGGATTCAGTGAGGTCAAAAGTATTTTTATACTAATACTAAAATGTTATTTAACTGCTTCCCCCTCTTGTCACATGTATGTCATGAAGGATACACTGGCATTTTTCAGAGACTATAAAATATATACTGTCATTGCTCTGATGACTAATATAATTTGTAACTGTGTACTCTCCTCTATCCTAAATATTTCCTAACGTAGTAGGTTTAGAGTATAAATGTATGCTTTTTCAGAGATTAACCAGTTTGTTCTCAGTATCCCTATTGTGCTCTTATTAGCCATATTTGAATATATATGCTATAATGCAACATATAGCACTATGCGGTCAAAAACTAATATGTATAGATTTGCATAAATTTAAAACAATACCATTCTCACTGAACTTTTTAAAAGAAAATTTGGTTGTTTTCATAAAGGCTATTATGTTAATATATAGCAAATTTACTGTCATTATTTTTAAACAGATATTTTATATAGCTACATAAATTAAAGTTTTTTTCGGTCCTCAATTATTTTTCAGAGTTTAAAGACCAAAATGTTTGAGAACCACTACTCTAGAA